AATAGTGCTAAATTATGTGTGATGTAACAAATGACTATCAATTTTTGTAACTTAAGCTGAATTTTGCCAAATCACATGACCGAATCGGCTGAATGTTAACCGAATAGTATTAATGCCGAATGAAATAATTTCGACTAGTGATAAAATCATTATTCAATTTCGAATGATGATGACAAATCATTCAATCAAATTGAATGATAAAAAAATATTTATTTAAATGATGATAATGAATCGTTCAATACAAATCAAACAAAGCTGATATTATGTTTCTTTGATGAAATATTGACTTATATTTTATAAAAATTGAAATTATAAATAAAAATATTAAAGAAAATTAAAATTCATATATTGATATTTTATTAAAAAATTTATTAAACAAAATCAAATAAATGCTTCATTATTCGTTATTTTTATAAAATTTTAACATTTTTAATTCTAATTTAACCTTTTTATTTTCAGCATATAACTTTTCTATTTCTAGCTTTCCATTTCTAATTCATATTGTTAAATTAATTCTTCGAATTTAAACTTTTTGAATTTTATGTTCTTCTAAATCTATTTTTTCATAAAACCTATCCCTTAACTTCCTTATTATAGTAATCATTCCAGATAAACCTTCAATTCCATTTACTTTCTTTTTTTTGGATTCATCAGCTTCATAATTTTCTTTGTTATTTAAATTTTCGTTATCAGAAATAAAATCTGTAGTTGAAGAATCTGTAATATAAATCTGGATTAACAGCTTTGCTTTGTGTTAAAATTTATTTTATTTGTGAAAATTAAGCCTAATTTACACTTCCTTTACCAGTAAAATTAGCTTCTTTTTTTTTACAAGTATATTTTACATAACTTTTCCACCTTATTTTTAATTTGCTCAAAAGATCAACCAGATAATATATTTGCATTTACTATCTTTTGATAAACTTTTGTTTTTCCTCGCTTCTATTCTTCTAAATGTTTATCCTAAAATGTAAGTAAACTTTTAATTTCTATATCTGTCCATTTGTCCATTTGGTATTATCTTCACTTAAATTTTTTTCTTTTTAAAGAACTTATTGTTTTTATTTCTTACTTTTAACTGATAGCTAAATAGTGTAAAAAAATAAGTATCAGATATATAAATATTTAATTAAAATTTTAGATAAATCTTATCAAAAAAAATTCTTTTATTAAATTTTTGTGAATTTTCTTGTATAGTAATAATATTTGTATCCAACTATTTATATAAATGTATTAATAATTATATTGAAAAGATTTTAGATAAAAAAAAAATACAAACCTCTATAAAATCAATTAGTTCTTTAGAAGTAGATGCTGATCCAAACGTAAACTTATTAGGAAAAAAATTTAAAATGTCTACTATGGTTGGTTTTGGAAGTATAGGAACGGGCTTCAAACATGTATTAAATTTTGGATTCATTAAATTTAAACATGTTATTTTAATGATATAAAATGTAAGCACATTTTTTTTTAGAATATTTGGATTATGAAATTTTTTGATCTATTGATCTATTTATTTAATCTGATCTTTAAATGATTTTAATTGCCTACTTAATTTTTTAATAACGGATCAGATTAAAATAGAATAGGGCTAGTATAACCCCTATAATTTGTGTTATCATATTGATTTCACTAATTTATCCTTCAGGTTCTGATTGGCTAGTATATTTAAACATATGTTATTTATCACATATTATATCCAAAAAAATTCAGATACTTAATAAAAATTGAAATATTACCAGTATCACGCTAATGATAAATTATCTAAGCCTTAACCCTAACTTTAACTAATCTCAATTATACCAGCCAATCAGAAGTAAATTAGTAAATCTATCATGTTCATTTTGTCTGGTTTTGTTGTAATACGTCCTATATGATTTTCAATAAAATATATAATATATTACATATGTGAAAATCTTTAAAATATGTATATATATTCATATCACATATTTTTGAACATTCTAAGATATATATAAATTATTACTAAAAATAGATAAATTATATAAAAAAATAATTTTATATAAAAAATAATTATGATCTTCTTATTTTAGTAATAAAATTTATCAACTTATATATATAATTATTAATTAAAATTTTATATATTATTATAGTATGATAAATTATACATAAAGCATTTTGTTTCATTAAAAATATATAAAGATTTGCTAAAATAATAGGAATTTAAGAATTTTTTGATAAAAATTTAATTTTTATTACTTTTATTACATTTTAATCTAATATTATCAAAAATTAAAATGCAATAAAAATTCTTTTTTAGCAAATCTATATTATATTAATTTGCTTAATAAATAATTTTTTTATTAGATATTTACTTTATAATTAACTTTAAAAGGAATTTATTATGTATTAAAATATTTAAATTATATAAAGTTATCCCTTAGATTGCCTAGCAGGCAAATTTGCCTGCGAAATCCTACAATCTAAAAGATATGAGAATATAATTATATAAAAATTTTATATAATCAAAATTGAAAAATTATTATATTATATATAAAGAAAAAAGAGTATTTAATATTAATTTTCTAATTTAGAATTAATATATATGTATTTATATAGAATATATTTATAGAAAATTGATTACAATTAACTCTTTCTATAACAGATTTTAATATAATAAATTTTACAATATAACAGATCTTTAGTATAATACAGATTTTTAATATAATTTATACTATGTTTAACAAATTAAGTAAATATGCATTATATAAATGCTTCTTTATATAACATATTTATTTATAACAATGTTTTTTTTTAATATAATGGAAATTTACAAAAATGAATTTTAGTAGAGAAAAGATAAACTTTGTATATGAAATTTTGTAATTTTTTTAATTTTTTGTATCTTAATAAAGTTAACAAAAGTATTTCATATAAAGTTTACAATTTTTTTTAAAATATTTCTTTATTTTGCATGTTTTGCAATTTTTTTTATATTTCTTTCTTTAATATAAGAATATTGAAAATAAGCTCAAAGAAATAAAAAGAAACTAATAATAAACCTTTAAAAAAAAGAAAGTTTTTTATTATTATATAAAAAAAAGAAATTTGTTTAAAAAAACTTCATTTTCATTATTAAAACAAAAAGACTTTGCAAATGAATATGAAGTTAGTGAGGATATGGTTAATAATATTTTAAAAGAAAAGGATCATTAGCTTGTTATAAATACTAAATCATATAAAGCTAGTTTAAAACATAAAAAAAAGATAAACTTTCCTTTTATTAAGAAAGTTTTAACTCTTTAGGTAGATACATTATAAGCTGATCTCATTATAATTGATAGTATTCTTTTAATTAAGGTTTTATTTAGGATTTACTTTTTTGTTTAGTGAGAATAAATTTAAAGATTTCAATAGATAGGTAAATAATTTCAAGAAATAGCGTAATATAATATATATAATATAGTTATAAGTATGTTACTTAATAATTTTAATTGCCAAAGAATTTGTTTAATATGATAAGTTTGAGACTCTAGAAGAAATGATATCTGATAAAGAAAGTGTAAAAACAGTTTTACGTAATGAATAAGAATTCAATGAATAAGAAAATGAAGGAGAACTTTTCTGATAATTACTTATAATAAAGCTATTGAAGCTTATAATAAAATAATTTTATATTTAGAATAATAGAAAGAAGTTTTTAATATAAAAGATGATATAAAGTTTATTAAAAACTTCAAAAAAAAGCTTTGAAATAGCAGTTTATTTCTATGAGATAAACTAATCTCAATAATTTTATTATTATACTTGAATAATAATAGTAATATTTTTTAATGTGATAATATTAATAATAATTTAAGGCTATTTTTTTTTTAATATAATAATGTTAATAATAATTTTTTTTAATATAAAAATATTATTAATTTAGTTTTTTTTACATAATAAATATAATGATATAATAAAATGGTATTATGAAAATACAAATTTAATATATTGATTAAATAATATTTCTTGCAATAGTATTGAAATTGTATTGAAATTATATTGAAAATTTTATATCATTTTTTATAATTTTTATTGAACTGTATTGAAATTTTCTATTTTTTTTTTACTATAATAATTTATATTTATCATCCAGGTGATGAATTGTTATTATCTCTAATTGTATAATCTACCGTATTAAAAATTTCATTTAAGTTATATTTATTTTGATCTAATTTTATAAATAATATGACAGTTAAATTGTTTTTTGAATTTGAATCTGAATCTGAATTTCAAATAAAAAGAGTTTGAGTATTTCAATTATGAGTTTATTATATTATTCAAGTTTTCACAAGATATTAAATCAGAAATTCATAAGATATCAAATTAAAATTTCGATTCAATAATAAAGAGATTATTTTAATATTTTTTTTAAATAAATAAATAATATTGATTAATAGATTTTTGAACTATCGTTAATAAATTTTCTTACTTTTATTTTTTTATTTACTGAAGAAATTTCAGTTTTGTATTAAAACAAAGCTATTCTTTTTCATTTTCATAGTAAATAATAAAAACTTTTAAAAATAAATTTATATTTATCATTATAATTTGTTTTATTTGAGATTAATTCCAATTTTTGCATCACCAAAATTGCTTCAAGACACTTTAACTTTAACTTCAGAAAGATTATTCTATAAAATAATATCATAAAATTAACTATAATTGTATTATAGTAAAATTATGTTTGTATTTTCCTTTTTCAATAATCATTTATTATATCTATATAGTAATAACAAATTTGCTTATAATGAAGGTCTGATTAACCTAGATACAAATTTCATTATATTGAGATATGACTGTATAATAAAAAAATAACAATAATCTATAATTCTTAATAATATAAATATTTTATATTATTACAATATATCTTAAGTTATATTATATAAATAAAATATTTATTTAAAAATAATATAATATATAATGACTTTTTTAAAATAAGAAAAACATGATTTTAATATACTTTTTTTTTTAAAAAAAAAAAATAGTAAATAAACAATTATTAAAAAAATGTAAAATTAGTTGATTTTTTATTTTTTTGTTTTTAAATTTTCATACTATATATTTACAATTTTTTAAAAGTATTTTAATTATTAACAATCATAATCTAATACAATTATTTAATTTCTTTATATGTAATCAACTTTTAAAATAATAATATTTATTCTTTAATAACATCATCTTTAAATTGAATACTACAATGATCAAATGCAATAGAATCTTCAGCATCTTTAATAAGGGAATTTGCACCATGATGATATAAATATCTAGCACAATCTAAATTTTCTGAAATACAAGCTAAAAATAAAATATACTTTAGTTAATTACCTAGTTTCATAAAAATCATAAATAAATAATTAATAATGAAAATTATTATAGCAAACCATAATGTAAAGGAGTTTCCTTTTCAACTTCAGACTAATACAAAGTAATTCTTAATAAAATCCAAATAGAAAACCAAATCGGAATGTGTATTAAAGTTATAACATACCAATATATTTACATCCGCACCCCTTTCAATTAATAACTCTACAGCTTCTAAATGACCTTGGTCACTTGCCCAATGTAAAAGCGTCAATCCCTTAAAATATTTAAAGGAAAATAAACAATCAATCCAAAAAAGGGGGTATTTTCACTAAATAAATTGCCAACCTGATTATCTTTAACATTTATATCTACTTTATCTGAGTCTAAAATCTTACTTAACTCTGCAATATCACCTTTCTTTGTATAGGAAAAAATATCATCTCTAAATTAAAAAAATTACTATGAAATTGTTTTTTTAAAAAAAAATCTCTTCTATAAAAATCTCTAATAAAACTAACTCTTCATTATTATCTTCATCTTCCTCTTCACAGCACATTGTAGAAACATAAGTAATTCTCTCTTGTTCTGTACTTAATTTACTCTTGAAATATTTAAACCAATTAATCTAATAATTCAAATGAACTTTGGGAAAAACCGTTCCTTTTTATAAAGAAAAATTACCTTGTCTTTATCGATATCCTCATAATTTATATCATCATCATCATCCAATTGATGTCTATTCCAACCAATGTTTGCTTTTTCTACAGTTTCAATATATATTTGCATTGCTGTTTCTGCTGGAATATTTTCAACTTCCTTCCATGCATCCCATTTAGCTCTTCCTCTAAGGTCCCATAAAGATGGTTTTGCTGTATCGTTTTTGCCTACTGTCACAACTTTATAATGACCATAGAGCTAAAAGCGAAAAGTAAAATAACTTTTATTATTTTTGTACAAAAACTATAACAAGAAACAATTTGTACGTTACTTACCTTGAGTTTTATTTCATTAGATAAATTAATTTCAGGATGATCATTAAGAAATGTATAAGCTGAAGTAAACTGTTCTATCAAAAGTAAATCGGTCATTTTGAAAAAATAAACGTAATATATGATTCGTTCATTCCTTCAAAAAATCATAAAAAAAAGTGCAAGTGATACAATGACGCATAAGATGTTAATAGTTAATGGACTAGTTTTCATTTTATTTTCATAGACGAAACTGATTTTATCGGAATTTTGAATTAATAAATAATGATCTACAAATTTTTTTTTAGGGTTTCGGAACCTTTACCCAATCTCCCAATATGTAAATTGAGTGTAATTTTAAAACAGATTTAGCCTAGACTCGGAGTTCAGGCCTTTTAAAACTAAGTCTATTTTAAGAATAAAATGATTCGAAATATCAAATATCACGTATATCAAATTTTAGTAAAAAATATAACGAGACGATCGACACATTGCATATCACAATGTGATATTATCGTAATCTCCATCTTAATCACAATCATGTCATTATAAATTGGATCATTCCTCAAATTTTTTTTTTAAAATTTCTCCACTTTTTATAAAAGTTAATTAAAATCAATTTTTTTTTACGATATATTATTAATGGGATACATAATAATGGAAAAGGTTGATCCATTATCAGGTATCGTTTTCCTTTAAAAATAAATTTATAGGTTTTTTTTATTTATTTTAGAACAAATAAAAAAGTTTATTTATTTTTTGGTAGTTTAGTGGTTGTTGAGAGACTGAAATCATCAGATAAAAAAAATTTCAATGATCCAGATTATGAATTACATGAAATTCGGATATCAGCAGATGATTTTCTACTACAGTATCCAAGAGGGGCTTATACGTCCGCTAGAACTGTTAAAAGACATTCTATTATGGATTTGCAAGGACACATTGATCGAACAGTAAATTCTATGCAATTAATAAACTTTATTCCCAAAAAAGAAACTTCTTCAGAAACAAATCAAGATGATGAAAATGAAGAGGAACCACCGCATATTACACAAGAATTAATCCCATATCGAGATCCAGATACCTTTAAACAAATTCTGTTACCTTTATTGAGAATAGGTTTATCAAGGTATTATGAAATTGAAGAATCATCATCATGGCATATTAAAGGTAAAGGTGAAGCCAAAGTCACTTTCCTTGTTTGTTATTCATTTGAGGTAAATATGAAAAAGTGTCTTTTTGATTCAAAAGTTTTATGAAATAATTAATGACAATTTAATAATTTTTTTAAAAAAGAAAAATAGGCCTATGTTATTTTTACATATCACACCTTTACACGCTCCAAGTACACCTAAATGCAAAGTAAATTTCATCAATCTAATTTTTAGTAATAAAAATATTCAATAAACAATTTAATTAATTTAATCCCTCATTTGATTTATATAGGTTGAAATCTATGGAGAACCGAGGAAATCATCCGAAGCTAAAGATTCAAAGTGGGTTCGGTATGTATAATTAACATGTTCCCTCAACAACATGAGAAAATTTTAAATGTATCTATATATATTTCTAACAGTGAACGAAATGTGCTAGAGTTGAGTAAACATCCAGGATTTAATGAAATCTTACTTTCGGATTCTCATACGCACAACGTTTACGAGGGTTTGAGCTCCAATTTTTTTGCAGTACTATATAATCCTGATAAAAGAGAACCTTTAGTTATAACTGCACCTTTGCAATATGTTCTGGAAGGAACTATATTAAAAATAGTTATAATGGTTTGTGAAAGAGATAAAATTGATTTACAATTTTGGTTTCCTAATGCTGATGATGTTGAACATTGGGAAGGCGCTTTTATAACAAGTAAGATATTGGAGAATGATCAAAAAAAGTGATTTTTTTTTTAATTTTGAATTATCTGCTTTAGGCACATCTCGATTAGTTTTACCCATTGAATTGATCAAATTCCGTGATGGAAGGTTGGCATAAATAATTTGTTCCTTTTTACAATTAAAATTGTTTTCTTCGAATTAATTACTCATTACTAAAAGACTTCGTAATTTAGGCCAACGGTGAGACTGCCTCCATATAACGATACAGTTGAACATATAAAAAATGAAGTTGAAAAAGAAATTACTCATAGAGCATATCGTGTTTTAGGTAGAAATTAGTTTTAATAATATTAATAATTTAAATTCTTCATCTATTTCAAAAATAAAAAAAAAATAATAATCCCCATAATCATACAATTTAAATAAAAAAATTTTTTTAATCTAAAATAAAAAAAAAATACGTTCAACGTCCCACCTCTTAAATATCTTGATCACCAAAATATCTTTTTGCATCTAAATAACTTTGTAAACCACCCACATCTATTCTACCTTGAACTTTTTCAGCAAAAAATTCAAATTTCTTATTATTTATAACCCAAGACAAAAATTTTCCTGTAGCATCACGATCTTCAATAGTATGATTTGAATTGTTCTTTGATTCTATTAAAAATTTTTGTAACAATTTTAAAGAATTTTTATGAAGAAAATAAAAACAAGGACAAGCATATCTAGAAGTAGTAGATTGTGGAGAAGGTTTTTCCAAGAAACCAATTACTTTATTGCCTTCGTCCAATTCTAAAATACCAAATTTATGAACAACTTTGTCATCAACTTGATATGTTGTAACTAAACATGCCTCATCAGTAGAATTGATTGTAATAAATTTTTCATATAATTTATTAAAATTAAAATCTTTTAAATATAACGTATCACCACCTATTATTAATAAATTCGAATTTTCTAAATATGAAGAAAAATGTTTAATAGCAAAAAGAACGTCTTCTACAGCTCCTAATCTATTTTCATTTAACGTACTACCATCATTTACAATATTTGTAGTAGGAATATTATGTGTTTTTGCCCATGAAATGAATGATGAATATGATGGTGAATTAGTTACGATATATAAAGATGATTTAATGTCTATGTTGGACTCAATTAATATATCAAGCCAATGTGCTATTAAGGAATCTTTGCCACCCAATGGTAAAAGGGCCTTTGGAACTCCTAGAAGGTGTGAATATTTTTGTGAAGTATCATTAAGGATGTCTCGTTGAAGTCGAGTTCCATATCCTGCTCCAAGAATTAAGACTTTAAGTGACATTTTATCGAAGGGAGTGTTTAATTTGCAAGATAACTTGTAGTCAAGTGTTGCTAAACGGATCGTATAAAATTGAAACTAAATAAGAATATCAAATATTTATTATTTTTCTACTTATGCTTTTTCAGAACGTTTTATCCAACTTAATCATTTTCGGGCTCAATACAGCAGACAATAGTTATTAAAAAACATTTTTCACATTTTTCACTTCTTTAGATATGACATATTTAACCATGATTTATTACAATTATAAAGGTTGTTAACAAATTTCATTTTATATTACAATTTTTTTATTAAATGAGTTATCACATATTATCATCAAAATAAATAAGAATTTAAATTTATTTTCTCACAAAATTTGTAAAAATATCCCCTTTTTTTTTTTTTGTCAAAATATTTGTTCGAATAAATCAAACATAAAAATTATTTGAATCACTACAATTTTTTAGAAAATATATCCAATTGCCTTTTAACATCCCCACAATAATTTCGAACAACTTTATATTCAGATTTAATATTAAATTGATGTTTCTCATCGTCGTCATATGTAGAAGAATTCAAGTCATCGTTAACACTTGAACTAAGATTGTTTGGTTGCGGTTTTTTAATTATTTCTTCGTCCGTTAACAAATCATCCTTTAACAACATCCATCTTGCTTTATTACATTTGGCCCTTTCATCCAACAACCAATTAACATATTCACTTTCTAATAACCTCCTATCAATAGAATTTATTAACCGGAATGTAAGCAATAAATCATATCTAAGCATTGCTACTTTTTTACGTGCGAATGTTATCTCATCTGACATACGATGATGTGAATGAAGTAACCATGGATACGCTGGATGTGTGATTCTCGTATCCAGAAATTGCCGAAAACTAAAATAAAACATGATCGTTAGAAACTTAATTCTTATTAATAAATACTTTCTTATTTTAGCTACCTTATAGGATCAACTCCCTTTAGACCTTTAGAACTTGTGTTCAAGACATGTTCTTCTAAATCACGAATATATACGGCAGGTGATGCAACATATGTTTTAAGCGGATGAATAGTTTCCGAAACTATTGAAGGTTTTATATCATTGTATCCGACTCCAGACCATAAATAAAGGTTACATATTAATGATAATGTTAAAACAATTCCAAGTAATCTGCTGGATGAAAATGTGGTTAAAATTCCAACAAAACTTGAAATCGATCCAGTAAGTAGTCTGATTGCATGTTCCATAATATTATGAACGAGTGAATTGGATTCCCTGAGCTCTTTTGGTTCTTTAGATGAACTAATTGAAACCTTGCTCGTTGATATTCCGGGTGATTGCATCTCTTCACCGCTTATTTTTGATCGTGATTTATGATAACGATAAGAGTGAGGACGACGACGAAGTGGCGAAACTGGGTGTGATCTTAATGGTAAACTTGGGGATAAAGGTTTACGTTGTGCAACTTCTGTCTTAATCAATGTCATTATGTCTTTTACGGAATCTGCCAAACCTGACATTGCAGCTTTTCGAATTATAGACTTTACAATCGGTGATTTGAACCACTGAATACCAATAAAAACAGCTAGTTTGCAGCTTGTTTTCGAAACATAAGTTATACAAAACTTGGACATTGGTAAAAATGCATCATTATAGGGAAGTTGTAATGCTTTAGTATAGCTCAAAACGCTATAGCAACTAATTTTCGTAATGTAATGAATCAAAATTATTTCAGAAATTAAAAAAAAACGCGTTGAAAAATACGGCAGTAAATAACTTACAGATAATCATCCCGCTTCTTGCATATTTGTGTCTCTATGCATTCACTCTCCTTTACTTTAGCTAATGGAATAAGGTATAAATTATTTATTTAATCGATGTAATTTGAAATTATAAAAAATAATTATATCAAATCGAAGTACTCACGCATCATAGAATTATTAACGGGCATAATAAATTTGAATTCTCTTTTCCGTTCTCCATTACCACTATTGTCTATAACCCATGGTCCGCTATGTAATAACTTATTTACTTTTTTTTTATGTAATCGAGACCATATTGTACTTTTCTCATCGAATATTATATCAAAAAGTTTTTTGGCTGAAATTGAGAATTCATGTTCAACTTCCTTCTTTTCAAGATGGTCCGAACAGTCACATGTAACGGGGCCTTTAGGTTGAGGAAGATTGAATGGAAAATCATCTTATATAAATATATAAATTAATAAAGTCAGTAAATATTTACCAACCCTCAATAAAAAATAAATAAAAAAATAAATTAAACCTTCTGATGGTGGTGGAATTATTATCATACTAGGAGTTCTTCGAGCATCGTTACTTTACAAATTAAAAAATAAATTAATCATAAAAATAAAATTCACAAATTTTAATTTACTTAAGAAAAATATATACACTTGTTTATTTTCATTAGCGGGAATCCTATCAGAGAGATGATTTTTATGATCTTCTGAAGTTACATTTTTCTGATCTTCCACTTCGACATTTTCCAAGGGTTTTTCGTTTATTTCTTGTGTTGGATCCTCATCTTTTTGCTCTTTGCCTATTTCGGATACAGTATCTTTTTTTTCTTCATCTTTAGATTCACATTTTAATTTCCATACAGCATTAAATACACTTTGCAAAGATACCGACTAAAGGGTAATAAATCATAAAATTATTATAATTTATTCTTAAAAAAGATTAAATACTAACAATTTATATTAAATGTAACAAAACCTTCTCTCCGGTTGCAAGACTCCAAGCTATGCGAGTCTTTTCATAAAACTTGCCTTCAATATCTAAATGTGTTTTGATTATATACTAATCAATAGGCAATATATAAATGAAAATATGAGTCATAAATATATAAAAATTTAAATGATAAATAATAAAATCATTAAGATATTTACGTTTTGACTATGATTCTCGTCGACAAAATTTACTATCTGTTGTGTGTCAGTTGTCTTATAAACAATATTTTTCAAATCTCGCCAATTAACACAGAACTAATAAAAAATGACGTTAGACCTAAAACATTACTAAAACTGTAGTAAAAGTGAATTATAATAATATTTTGGCATACCATATTTATGACGCTCATCACTATGGAATAGAAGTAAAGCCTATCTTGTGTAATATATGCACGTCCCTTATATAGCATATCATTCATATACCACGCACAATTAAAAACTATAAAATAAGAGAGAAATCAATTACTCGTTAAATTCAATAATATAATAGTCAAAAATATGGATTACTAACAATCCAATACGAATTCAGCTTCAGTTGCGCAAGGAAACAATAAATGTAATTGAGCATTATGTAATAATAAATTCTGAGGGTATTCAGCAATAGATCTATCAGCACCAGATCCAACAGGACCACTTCCACTACGTGACCTTCCACCCTTATTTTTTAACGAAGAAGATCTTTTACGTCCAGTGCCATCTTCAAGAGCTTCGTCATCACCTTCCGATGCATTTACTGTATTTATTATTAAATTCATAGAAGGCATTGCCCACTGTAAAGTTCCCCAGAAATTTTGCTGATTTGCAGATGTTGAGGGTTTCTCATTAGATGATTGTGTTGATGAGGATGAAGTAGTATTTCCGTTATTATTAGTAATAGGTGCCAACGTTGCCGTAGATCCCTTTAAAGACGTACTATAGCTATGTGGTGTGCCTACTGAGCTAGGTAAATTAGAAGCTGAAGCTGTCCATTTTTTTGATAATGAATTTTGTGATGAAGGTGGTGAGGCTGCAGTTGTAGGAAGTGTAATATTTGAACCTGCTAGAGTTGGATTACCATCAATCTTATTACCATCTACAGAACTAGTTGTTGAGGGTATATTACTATCATGTCCTTCATCAGTAGATTCGTTCTGTTCATCATCTAATTCTTTATGAGACACTACAGCTGCTGCTGCGGAAGAAGAAAGATCACTTGATGAACGAAAAGCGTGTCGTTTCGCATTCTCAAAAACTGTAATCCAGTCTTTTAAATCCGAATCTGTTTCCGCTTGCAGTAAATATGTGGTTCTATTGATAAAAATCCAGTTTTTTTTTTTGTAAATAGGTTAAGTTTAAAATTTTTAAATTGGTTCTGATAAAAAATATTACTTACTGTTTGGCACCACATAAGATTTCAAAACAGAATCTTCTATCCTGGGATATATCTGTCCGTATTTCACATAAAAGTACTCCAATTCTCTCACTTTCCTCGATAATTGAACGAAGTTTACCATGTCCAACAGACGCCCACCAGAATATTCCATCTTTTAAATAAAAATACTTTCTAACCCAATTATTTTTTCCGTTAGCACGCATAAATAAATAACCTTGTTTAGTAGGAGTCTCGTTTGGTAGGGGCGCCGGCGAAGATGGACGTGTTGTTTGTATCGCATCAGAATTAGGATGATTTGTCATTAAATTATTGGTATAAGTTGTTAGGTCTCGACCCGGTTTACTTGAATTAATAGCTTCCTTTAATTGACACCATGTTAATTGAAATATCTGATAAATTTTTTTTTTGTAAATATTGCTTTATGATTTACCTCCTCTAATTTATTCCGTAAATCATGAAGTAGAGGAATTTGATTTTCGCACGTCTTCTTGCTCTAAAAAAAAAAATTTTTTTTTTGGTCAAAGTCGACAAATACTTGAAAAATTGATCTTGGTATGAAATAATATATATATAAAACAAGTCTCTACCTCCGACAACCAACTTCTCAATCTCTCCAAATGATTCCCCGATTCTTTATATACAGTTAGGCTTGTTTCATGCATTTCTAAATGCGCAAAAGCTCCAGACAAGAACTAAATTAAAAGAAATATCATATTTCTATTCAACCAAAATAATCAATTTGTTACGAAAATAAAATAAAATATCAATTAACTTGTTCCATTATTAGATGATCTACAGAAGCTCTAAATTGAACAATTTTAAGTGTATAATCTAATGCAGTTTTAATATATATTTTTCGAAATTCATGTAATTGAAATGCATCCTTAATAAATAAATAAATTAATTAATAATTAATAATTAAAACGAAAACTAATAATACACAATAATTTTATTTATACGCAAACCTCTCGTAATGCACTAGCTTCTTTACTTCTTGATTGTGACGAGTATTTCGCAAGCATACTATCATATCTTTCAACTGCTCGATCGTGATTACGACGAATTTCCTATAACAATTGATTGTGAATTTGTTAATTTCGCACGTATTCTAATAATGGCAATCAAGATAAAATACCTTGAATTCTTTTAACTCATTTTTTGTGAAATGTGTTATCGGTTGTAATAATTTTTCATCAATATCATTTACCTTTAAAAATTTTAAAGCGGTTTAATAAATTAAATTCCCAATACCAAACAATTTCCTTTAAAATTTTTTTAATTACCAATTTTGATTTAAATGCATAAGTTGTTTGTAATGTATCAGCAAATATTCTAACTGCAATAAGTGTAAAGTCTCGATCTACTCATTAATTAATGAATAAATGTAGGATAAAATTAAAAAAACAAATTAATATAGATAAATAGATAGATAGACATATATGCTACAAAAGATTTTACTAAATAAATAATGAAATAATATGAAATGACCTTACCTAAAAGTGAATCGTCACTTGAAATTTGCGTTGCCTTTCTTGCCAAGTTATTACTTGCTTCATTGTATTCTTTATCAAGAATAAATTTATAATTAGTTAGTATAGAATATTTATACTTTTCATTTGACGAAAAGAGAAACTTACTGATAGATTCTTCTGAATAAAATTTTAATGCTTTAAATAGAGTATCGAGCCATTTTTCAAAATGATCAACTTGTTCTTCAAATTTCCTTACATTTGCTCTGAAATTTGGAGTATCATGAATAGCTTCTCGAGGATTTAAGTTATTAATAACAGATTCTGCTGGTAATGGAGGCGTGACAAGTATTGAAGACATTTTACGATTATTTAGGATTGAAGGAATACGGATCTTCAAAAAAAATTGACGTATAAATATAAAATGCCACAAAGATCACGATGAAATTTTCTATAAAGAGTTTAGAAATGGGTAACGGTAACCTAAATGAGGCATGATTTTCCAATATAAGAAACTTTATTAATTTTGTTGGTTTTTCTCTATCATCATTGCAAAAATATCAAAAATCTTACACTGATTAATTTTCAAACAAAGCCTTGCCGTGAGTTTTCTATCAAATAGATCACAATGTGCGAAATAAAAAACAGAATTCACGTTTTAACCTAGTATTTCGTGACATTCATTTATTATTTTTAATTAATGCATAGTAATATGTACCATCATGTGATAAATGACAAGTTAGAGGCGCAGTCAACTTTCACCAGCTGATAATTGCAGTAATAAAATTATATTTTGGAGGAAATCATATTATCTAGTCTATGAACGATAATGTATTCAGGTTACAAATATTTTGGGTATTTTTATTTTCTATCTATGCATTAACTTGTTCCGCATTAGGTGGTTATATTTGTTTTGTTCTTTTATTATTATTCATCTAAATTGGGATACCCCAAAATACCAGTCAGCTAAATTCCCGCAGCAATATTAAAAAGATTGGTTTTAGATCAGATATAGAAATGTATAATTTAGATAAACTATTCCTCGTGGCGCATTTTCGCACGAAGCGGATCAAATTTAAACCAATTGAAGAGCTTTGAGATTTTTTATAAATTAGCTTTACGTTTCACAACATTTTACTTGAAGAATTCAATATTTAATGAAAACTTACCACCACTCAAATGAGGAATTGGTTATTTGTTTATTACTCCTCTATCAAATAAAAAGAAACGATTTAAAAATCCACTCTTTTATATCTTTTGCTTTCATAGTCAATCAAATTCCTTCTCTATCTTCTATTTAACGCTTTTCCTTTTTAACTTTTTCCTATTCACTATATCAATTCTTTTTTCATATATTATATCAAAAAAATTTATTTAGAAAAAAAAATATTAAATTTATAAGTTAATTTTTATATATAGTACTACTTTATTTCTATTTCAAAATGCATGATGAAATGATACTATCCTTAATAGAAAGAATAGGGTTAAAGGTTGGTATACCTTAATTTAATTATTGCAATATATTTAATATCATTAGATAAATTATTGAAATTTATCAAATCTTTTTATTTAATAAAGTTACCATGTAATAGCGGTAAAAAGCTAGATACTTTAGAAGCAGATAGTCTAGTTCAACATATAGTAAATGCTATTGTTGATTTATCGCGATATAAACTTGCAACAATTGTACAAAATTTGTCAAGACTCTTGGAAAATATTTCAGAGGTAAAATATTAATTAAAAGCTTTAAACACTTTATATAAAATTTTAATTTAAAATATTTTGCTTGATAGTCTACTCCAACGGCGTTTGAAGAAAATCCAACTGTGGATAAATTACAATCCCAGTTATTTATCTTAAAGATACTCTCTGCGTGCATGTTTGCTTATTGGAAGTATTATAAAGGAATGCAGATGGAAGTATCATCGAAAATAATTTCTGAATCACATGAAGAACCATCAAATCAATCAAAATTACCAAAATCGTGGGATGACCCGCCAACTTTAGATGAAAAGTTGGCGAAAGCCATTCTCAAGGTTTTATCAAGATTTCTTTTTCTGATGGAATCTCAAGAGGATAATAATCCCAGTATTCCAGTTGGACCAAGTGGTGGTAAAGGAGAGCCATCTATTCATAATATCAATTCTCAGGCTGCTTGGTCTCCAGCCATATACGACCTAGTTAGCGATATATTTAAACACGCCGGACGCGTAATATTCTTTATTTCTGCATCAAATTGGGAGGTTGTTTTTGCAAGGATTAGGGTTCGAATTGCCTTTTTATCTTCTACAGATGATGAATGGCCCGATGTAAGTGAATTAAAATTGTTGGAATGTTCGGACCTGGATTCGAACAGGCTATCAATGGTATTACAAGGTAAGCAATTTGATACCTAACTTAAGGCTATAAAATAAATTCACACTTATGTAACATTTATTATTTTAGAACTATGTAATTCTTTTAAGCATTTGAAAAGGAATGCCCAAATATCAATGGCAGTTGTACTTCGCAAAGCAATTTGGAATTGGATAGAAGTCTTTACGTCCGAGTTTGTTACTTTATGTCAATCACAAACAAGCATGGATGGTGCATCAAGTCTTTTTGATATTATTGCTAAAAAAGATAAGAGTTTATTTTGGCCTGTTCAAACTATGTTGTTGATCCTTTGTCCTGAACGGTTAATGTGTGCCATTAAATCTGATAAATCCTCAAAACAATCCGTTCTTAAGGTAGGCCACACTTTTTTTTTAAAAAAAAAAAAAAATTATGAACTAAAGAATTTATTTATCGATTTTACTCAATATTTTTAGGTACAATTTTTTGAGACTCTTAAAAAATCTTTAAGGAATAGAAATGCAGAAGTTGCAGCAGTATGTTATGTAGATATATTCAAAGCTTCCACCTATGTAAAGAATGAAGCATCTGCACTTCGTTTGATAGTACCGGATATAGAAAACGAATTAAAAGTTAGTTTATTTCTCGTTTTATGTGTGAAAATGACTTAATTGTTTTTGAAAGCAAAGATGGCAAGTCATGTGGAACTCGTAATTTCATATATTAAAATTTTATCATTTATATTATTTAATTAGGAAACGCTTTTTGATCCAAACAGACCATTCCCCAATGAACAGAATGTTGATCAAAAACTTATGACAGATTGCCTTACGGCTTTATTTAGAATAAGCCCTGAAAATACTTTGCGTTCATTAATTCCTACCTTTGTTCATGAAAACGTACCAAACGCTTTTAAATTGGTTCTTGTGAAAAGCTGTTATTCTATCGCATCAGAGGTAGTGTATTTTCCTTTATTCTTTTTCTTTTTCCGAAAAAAAATAATTTATTTTTAAAATAATTTCTTAGGAATCGCGATTTCCTTGGAGTCCCAAAATTAAATCTATGTATCCCTTTTTGGCAGACCCACTTCGTAAGTTATTTCTAGATCTCATTAGTGCTCGAACTGTACCTTCAGATATTACTAAGCGCCAAAAGAGGGGTTATGAAGAATATCAAGAGAGATCAGATATTATTTTAAACATATTAAAATTATATAGGACTGAACCATATCTCGCGATTGTGGTGAGTAAAGTTTATTATATCTAGTTATTATTTAATTTATTTCTTTATTTACCATTTTTCTTTTAAAGCAGGAAAAGGATGGGCAAGCAGTTAACAATCAATCTATTATACTTGGGATCATGAAGTGTTTAATTGATAACAATGATAAAATTAAGACTACCGCAGCTGAGACTTTGTTAGAACTTCACACAGTTGATCTTATAAATTTATGGGGGCCTGGAGAAAATAAAATGCACAATTTTTGGTGTATAAGGTATGAATAATATAATAGATATAGATATTGCTTAGGTCTTGATTTAAATTAAGTATTAACTATTTTTTGTTATTTAATAAGTTCACAAATAACTTGTGCCATCGCAAAGCAAATTATAGGAATGAAAAATAATGATGCAATCAAATATATGTTGGAAATACTGCTTCAACTTTTAGTTCGACGTAATGAATTTCTAAGAGCTCACAAAGTAACTTGTTTTTCTAATCATATATAAATTAAATTTCGTGTATACTTTTTATTTTAACACAAACTTTATTATTCTAGGACGAGCTAATTACTCCAATAAATATTCCAGATCGATTATCTTCAAATATATCACTTGAAGTTACTTTGTTGGTCTCCTTATGTTCTTCTGAAATTGAAATATGTTCTATGTCAATTAACTGTTTTGCTCAGTTATGTCAAGAAGCACAAATTACAACCGAAAATTTTGCAATCGATGTGGACGTACCACAAGAATTGCCAATATCTCCTCAAATTACAATTGTTGATAATTGGAATGTTTATACAGAATTATCAACTTCACCTTATATAGTTCCTGGTCGGATGTCACAACAAAGGCGTATTCGTAAATTATTACGCCTGATGACTCGCCCTACAGCTGGCAATTTTGGAGCATGGGAAGAAGCGTGGAACAGATGGAGGGATCTTACAGAGATAATTGCAAAGCCATCAGAAGAGTCAATTCCATTAAGTCCAATACCACCGAAAAAAGGTATATATGGACTTTTTCCCGGTCCAAATCGGACTTCACCCGTTGCCCCGGTTCCTGATATTAGCGAGTCGCAATCTGTAGAATGGCATAATTATACAGGATTCCTTGCCGCATTGGGAGGTTGTTGTATTATTGAAAAGACAAGCTCTGAGCGAACTTTAGGGACTTCTAATCGAATAATATCTATTCCACCAAGTTCTGATTGTATGGCAAAGGTCGAAAAATTTGTTCAAGAAATGGTTAGTTTACTGGTTAGCGGTACAATTTTTGTTCGAGAAACCGTGAAAGATACACTTGGAAATGAATTGAGTCCGAGATTATATGTTATTCTTTTCAGTCATTTGGAATCGATCGTTTCTCGATTCTTTGATAAAGATGGAGAAGCCACTCCTAATGAAAGATACACGCTCTTTATTGAACAAGCAATATCAGTTTTAAAACTGATATTAGAACGAATTTACGATGTATCCGACAATTTATACTCGTGTGATCTTGGTGGACTTGTTCTTTCATTTGCTCGTTATCTAAATAGGTTAAACACGAGTAACACTTCTCTTCGTATAAAAAAGAAAATGTGTGTACTTGCGGAACTTTTGATGTTGAAGAAAGAATACGTTAACCTTCGTCAGGAGATTAAGTTGCGCAACAAATTAATAGAAATAATAATGGAGTGGACTTCTGACTCTTCAATGAGATCTGACAGTTCAAATTATTTAGAAAATAATTTTACTCCTAATAATAAAAGTGAAAGAAGCGAAAAATTGCACAGAGATTTGGATCAAGGGTGCTTAAAAACAATTGTAGCTCTTTTGAACCAGTTGCCATTACAGCCTTCTGAAACCCCTCACGAATCAGAAATCAGTTCGATAAAGTCGAAAATGTTTTATAAATACTTTTCGTTTTTTATCAAACTGTTGAACAGGTGTAGAATTTTAGAGGTTTGTATCTTTTATTATACCTATTAAAAAATTATCAATTTTTTCAAAATTCTTTAATTTTGTTATTTTTATAAAGGCAATTGATAGCGGAACACATTCTGCTAAAAATAACCAAGATCTACAAATGTTGTTATCAAAGGTATATGTTTTATATTTAATGAATTAATTCGTTGTTTTTAAATTATGATTATTATTTTTATTCTTGATTTAAAATTTATTATTTATTATGAATATAGTCCAAAGAATACGTCAAAGATTTAGGACCTTTGAAGGATTATACTATTTTAGCATTAAGTAATCTTCTGAGTGCAAATGTGGATTCGGGTCTTAGATTTTCACTCTCCATGGGATACCATGAAGATTCAAAAACCAGGACTGCTTTCATGCAAGTTCTTACCAACATTCTTAATCAAGGAGCTGAATTTGAGGGATTGGATGAGAATGCTATGAAAGAAAGATACAATAGATTGGTTGAGGTTGTCACAAATTCAGACCTTGATATTGCACTTTCTCTGTGTGAAGTTTGTCACTGTTCTGAACAAGACGAATCAACTAAAGTCTTGTTATCAGTATTTGATTCACAAAATAAGTTATATCCTTTCTTAAAAGTTCTGTTTGATAATGAAGTAAATAAAACAGGTAAAATTTTATGTTAAATGAAAATATGTGTCTTTTTATTAAGAAACTTTACATAATTGTTTTTCTCTTACGAATTTGTGATAGATTATGAAGTCGATCTATTTAGAAAAACTAGTTGGGCAACAAGATTTTTAGCATATTTTGCTAAAGTTCATGGAATTGAATATTTACGCGAAACGCTTCAACCAGTTTTAAATGATCTTCTTGAAAAACCACCAGAATATAGCTGTGAAATTTATAAAGATAGAATGTCCGCAGGGGAAAATGTCGAAGAAAATTTGAAAAATCTTCAAGAGCTTGCAGAAGCTTTTATAAATGCAATTTGCGGTTCTAGCGAAAAAATTCCTAGGTACGATACATTTTTTTTTTATTTTCTAGAACAATTACACAGATATTCAAAATATTATTATATTGTTAGATCCTTCCGTTATGTATGTCACTATCTTGCTAAATCTGTCGAAGTAAAATATCCAGAATCAAAACATAGAATAGTTGGGTCTTTTATATTTTTAAGGTTCTTTAACCCAACTTTAGTTGCTCCGGATAATATAAACCTTTGTAAGCCCATTGAAAGTATAAAAATCAAAAGAGCACTTTTGTTGGTTACCAAGATCGTTCAAAATCTTGCGAACGATATAAGATTTGTGGCACCCTATATGATGATTATGAATGTCTTTTTAGAAAAACATATTAAAAAGATGAATAATTTCTTAGAAGAAATTTCTGTATGTTATAGAATTGTAAAATTTTTTTTATTTGAATCAATTTTATTTTCCCGAGAATGAGAATTAAATATATTATATAATTTATCTTTTTTAACTTTATTAGCAATTGCCTTATTCTACACCAACAACTGAATTAAAAGTTTCGGATGTTAATCCATGCAGATTAGATGAAAATGACAAAAAAGCTTTGCATAAGCTTTTGCATAATAATCACGAAAAGATGGCGAGAGAATTTTCATCACGCAGAGTTAAATATAGTTTATTTGGAATTTCAATTGACTCCGAACAAGCTCAAGCTAATAAAATGGCTTGGGAAAAACTTGGGAAATTATTAGCTCAATTAGGGCCACCAGCAGAACAACCAAGGAAAGAGTCCATTTATGTTAACACACCTTATCATGACACAACAAATCATTTTTTTGGTGAATTTATGAGAAGGAATAGAGGTCGTAATTTGGAATCGATCGCAGAAAAGAGAATATTTTACGAAAGTGGTGTCTCAAGGGTAAATTTCATTATTCATATGATCATTAAATGATTTTCATTTAGTAATTATTAAATTTCGAAAATTTAATATTTTTTTTTTTTTTTTTTTTTTTTTTTTTTTTTTTTTTTAGGAAAGGCGCCCTGTATTTTATTATATCGCGCGAAGGCTAGAAGCGGAAGCGACAGATATTGAACTTTTAATGTACCATGTGCTAAACGTAAGTTAATGATTTTTCTTATATTTTTTTTTAAAAAAAAAACAAAAAAAAACTTAAATATAGAGTATCATTTAATCGTTTTATTATTTATTATCTAATAGACAATAGAATTTAGAATGGGACAACCATTCGAAGTGGTTGTTGATTTAACTCAATTTGGTCCTAACAACGAAGTACAATCTCAATGGGTTCAACAATTCATCCAAATCCTACCGTTTGACATTCAAGAAAATCTTGCGAAATTGTATTTTTATAATACCAATACCACCTTTAAGAAATTTGTAAAGAAATTATCTCGGCCATTATCCCCTAAAATCACCAAGAAAACTTTATTTTGTTGTAACCTAACCGAACTTCATGAATACATTGCTCCAGGGGAAATCGGCTTACCTAGGTCCACAAGTAAGAATCGGTTAATTTATGAATATTATAAATATCACAATTTCAAATTTCAAATTATTTATTATAATTATAGCAATATTGGACACTGAAAATAATAGTATTATTCACACACCTGTGACTAAAATTTCGCATTATAGAATGCATATTGCTGTCGCAATAAAAATCAGTAACGAATTTATTCAAATCCTAACGGTAAGTCTTAAGTTTTTTTTTTAAAAAAAAAGTTTAACGACTAAACTTTCGATTTTATTTTAGCTAAAAAGACAAGATTTGTTCTATGGACTGAATTGCCAATTAAATGATGTTTATCATATATCGGATATCGAGGATATAACTAGCTCCACTCATAGGAATGATGATAACGAATTTTTCATCAAGCAAGATCGTGGAAGACCTACATACGTTTTTTCGAGTCCAAAGCGAGATGCTATTATGAGTGCAATAAGATCATTAAAGGTAATTTAATAAATTCTATGAAGCATTGATATTATTATTATAATAATATAAATTAAACAAACCTTTTTATAATACGTCAAAGGCGCGGTATCAAATAGCACAACCAGTTAGCGTGACGGCAAGAACTATAAGTCCAAGTGGTGTGCCTGGTACTCTGTTAAATATGTCACTTTTGAATATTGGATCTGATGATCCAAATTTGAGACTGGCGGCTTATAATTTATTAGTAGCTTTAAGTCTTAATTTTAATTTTGATGTTGGAAAACAGCTCCTAAGTGCTAAAGGTAATTCATATTTAAGAATTATTTCATCAATATTCGAATAACTTAAAAAAAATTCTTACTTAATTTCAGGCCTGTGTATACCCGCGAACAATAGTACGTTTATCGTACAATTGAGTGAAAGGCTAGCCGTTTCTGAGACTGGTCTGACACTAGAATTCCTGACGGAATTCTTTGTTGGATTTTATAAATCCAATACACCACAGAAACATTTATGCCTCCAATACATGGCACCATGGCTTCCGAATTTAGCTCTATATTATAGACATGGATCTGAACACCAACCGCATCTTAATAAGACGCGGGAAATTATTAGACATTTGATTTTCATGACAACTAAAGAGCCGGAGGTAATTTGATTTAAATAATAAATAGTTTACTATAATCTAAATTGTTTATATGAAATTTTTTTTTATGATTTTCAGTTATACACCGCAATACAATCAAGAGTGTGGTCCACCCTTAAAGGAGTTGATGAGATAACAAATCTGATAATTGACGAATTCGTGGAATATTCTGTAAATAACGGTATCAGTTCACCTTCGTCCGAAATTGTTGCAAACACGGTTGTAACACTTTCTTCTGTAAATTTTCGCGGTAAAATCATTGCAAGGCTTCGTAGGGTAATGTTTGATCATATATTAACTGAATTATATTATGAATTTATTTATATCTCCAATTTTTTTTTTCGATTGGTTTAGGTTATTGCTCTAACTTCATCGAACCCAACAAGAACTCTCACAGAAAATGTAGCGTGGCCGGAAATTGCAGTCTTAATAAGGTTCAACCTTATGCTCTCGTTTAACAACCGAGTACATATCCAACCTTACCTGCCTGAATTATTCCATATAATAACAACACTTATTTCAACTGGCCCATCATTTATCAGAGCTTCAGTTCATGGGTTGATAGTGAATTTGATACAGAGTCTTTGTACTGCACAACCCCTTGATCCATCAAATTTGACAAGGTTAAACCTATTATTAACGGAATTATCAGAACCAAATTTCAAATTATTTTTTGGATTAAATAAGATACCAGAGAACGCTTTTGAAATAACGGTAGACTCCGTTGCTAATTTACCAGATAATATGCCTCTCAGCTCTCTGGAAACTATTGTTCAGGCTCTTTTAGAAGTCATGATTTGTGGTGCTCCTTCTGTTGGTTTGTATAATTTTACATTTTATTTAAGTATGTATGATTCTTAACTTTTTTCTTTTCAATGCCATCTAATTTTTATCTGAATCTTGAATAGATGTGTCAAATACATGGAAAGCTCGTTGGATGGGACTAGTCGCGAGTACAGCCTTTCAACATAATCCAGCAATACAACCAAGAGCGTTTGTTGCGTTAGGTTGTTTGGCATGCGAAGAAGTTGACGATGATCTCCTATATCAAATATTAGTGGCATTAAGGGGAGCATTAGATAATTTTTCTGAAAATGATTGCTCATTAATTCAGAGTATAATAATGTGTTTAACGAAGATAGTTGAAAAATTATCAAGAGAATCACGATACCTTCGACCAATGTTTTGGTTAACTATGGCACTTATTCAAATTGGACACATTCCAATATTTCAAAGTGCTGTTAATTTACTACATGTGGTATTGAGAGCTTTGGAGGCACAGAACTTCTTTGTTGAGAATGATCTTGTACCATTCTTATTAAGTTCAAGAATACCTTTAGAAAAAGTAACAACGGTAATGGATATAGAAGCGGGGATTAATTATTCGCATTTTTCATTTGCAATTGCTGCAGTTTTATTAAAAGGATTAAAAAACCCTTTAACAAAGACTTCAACTCAGGCAGCTTTACTAGCATTTTTAAATATAGCAGCAAAAGGTGTTAATCCTAAAAATAATATAATTAGTTCAAGTATGCTAGGATATTTAGCAGCTCTATTACCAATTTCAGCAAAAGATGCTGATATGAAAGGATTACTTGGACTAAGTGGAATATCGGATATTGATGTTGATGATACAGAACTCCAAACAACATATTTTAATATATTTGAAAGACTTGAGATTCCGGATAATCGAACCGCTTTGCTTTTAATCTCTTTAATGGTTACAATGTTACATCATGCTGAAAGTGAAGCTGAAAGATTATTTTTGTATGGATTTTTAGCAGAAGCGGCGAAAATTGTTCCGGAGTCATTCGCTTTAGTGTATGTTACTTGTAAATTACAAATTTGTTTATAAAAATTTTGACAAAATTTATTAATTCTTTACCTTTTCTTTTATACAGTTACAATACTCTATTGCCAAAAATGAGCCACATTGTGTCGACTAGTGATACAATACCAATATTAGATGCAATACAATCAATACTTTACACCGTTGTGTCCGAGCCCCTTTACAAAAGGGCAAATGATAATCAATCTTCTTATTTATCAGAAATTGGATTTAGTCATTTAATGGATTGTGGATCCTTTCAAAATGTAACAAAGGAGAAAAAGGCCACTAATGCTAGGTTATCTAGTAAATTAGTTGATTGTATTATAAGTTATTAAAATTTCATGTTTATATATATATATATGTATTTAATTTAGAAAATATTAATTAACAAATAAATCACTTCATAAAAAAAATTTTTGCTTTTTAAACAATTTGGAATGACATTGAACTTTTCCTATTAACGTATCTTGAGTTTATTTTCAAGAACTTTTGTCAGTTAAGATACTTTTTATATACTTCATAATTGTCCATCACTTAACAGATTTCTTCTCCATTAAAGACTTTAAGGGACTCGACTAAAGATGGAGCTGTAATTGATTTAAAATTTTTAACTAGTTGCAACTTGTAACTCGAGAATTTGCAACAAATTATAAATTTTATATTATAAAAAAAAGTTGCAACTTCTTAATTACAGTATCGTCTTTAGACTGAGAGACTTTTTAAATGTAAAAAATGTAAAAGCTGTATTGCAAGATACAAATTTATTCTTGATCAAAAGAGTGGTTTGGCAAAGGTATGTAGATAAAAGGTAAATAAATAAAAGTTAAGACGAAAAGGATCAACTGAGTGTGGGCAAATGACCAGGTCTTTGATAAACAGTTTGACCATCAGACCAATAAACCAGGTCTTAATGGTCTATGTGGCGCAGCTTGCATTTTTATTGGCAAATAACCAAGTTCATTTGAGGTCTTTTGAGGTCATAGACCTATAAAAAGACCACAAATAAACTTCTAATTAATCAGGAAAATCTTGATAAAGTTTTTTTACCATATTTTGCTCATCAAATGAATTTATATATAGATGATATTAGGGTTCCTCAAAATCGAATCAAATCAAATATTTAAGCAATTTGAATTTGATTTGATTTTTTCAAATCGAATCGAA